CTGCTGGGATGTTGTATCCCTCTCAGCCCGGGTCTGTCTGCTGGGATGTTGTATCCCTCTCAGCCCGGGTCTGTCTGCTGGGATGTTGTATCCCTCTCAGCCCGGGTCTGTCTGCTGGGATACTGTATCCCTCTCTGCCCGGGTCTGTCTGCTGGGATGTTGTAGATCTATCCCTCTCAGCCCGGGTCTTTAAGCAGTGTGCGAGCCCCCCTCCTAAAATGATCTAAATTGTGTCGACTGGGGTGTAAATATTCTACCATTTTATTTTAGAATTATCACATTATTTCCAATTTTGTGTGAAAAGCTGTTTGGTTTGGATGAGGAACAACTTTTTTTTTTTTTAACAGATCTCTCAATTTTAACTAACTGTAAAAGTGTAAAAGTAACAATCAGTTTGTTCTGTTGATCATACCGTAACAACCAACCAACCAACCAACCAACCAAATAAACAAAAAAACAAATAAATAACTGTATATTTAAAATGAAGACAAGATTGTCATTCTAGTTTGTGTCATAAAGTTTATTCTTTTATTTATGAAAACACAAGTATGGAGTGGGATATAGGCTAGGAAAGCTTGTGGATAGTCAAGGCAAATGATGGTGAAATTTTACGCGAGGTCATGGAATAAATGTCAGAGAGCTGATATGTCATATTTGGATTTAGAATAAAATATAGATCTATATAATGCATGTAGTAATGGTGTATTCTATCATGTATGTATGCAGTATAGTAGAAATATAGTATGCCTATATAGAGCAGGAAAATGTGTGTGGAGCGAGTAAATTTGGAAGGATACATCAGAGGTCCTACTTCTTGGAAAACCCGACAGAACCGGCTAGAATTAAGGAGACAGACATCCGGCTATGGTCGATTACCGTTTTAATTCATTCGCTACATATTATTTTCAGCTTGTGGACGAATTTTTTTCAGGAAGGCGAAATGAGATGATGACTAGTGCGCAGTTCAATGGTCTTTGAGGCCACAAATTCAAATAAATATCAACATAATGCACCGAAATTTTCAGTATGATTTGTAGAATACATCTGTAATGTTTATTTGTGAATTTTTCAATTTTGATTTCCGTAAGAGGCAATTATGCAAAACAATTTTGCTTGGATGCGGAGAAAATTTGGAGAAAAAAAAATTAATCATCTTCGGTGAAACTCAAAAAATATGTTTGCACCAAGTCAAATGATACATCAAAATAACCATAAATGAATATATTATAGTACTGCAAAATATTGAAAAATTTGCAGTTATTTATATATATATATT